CAAGTTCTTGCTAACAAGTGTAGGAGCAATAATCGCTAATAATGGGCAATAGTCTGTATTGAATTAAGTATTCATTTGTGCATGAATTAGTATTTATTTCATTTTAATGTTTTTAACACACAATTGAAAAAGTATGTAAAATGTGGTAACTGTTGAGTCGTCTAGACTCGGTCAAGTTACTCCTTTCATTGCTATTGCTCAACTGAATTTTATTAAAGAATCAACAAGCTATATTCACAATACAATACTAGGAATCAGTAATATTACTTTTACATAGGAATGTACTTTTACAATCATGTACCGATCGTGTCTTATAGGATATAGCGTGACTATAGTAACGCTTAGGTAACGCAATACACTACAGTAATAAAATACATATCATTGTGGTATTCCTCGTGATTTAGTTCAAGGGGCTTTATTCTAAATAGATCAAAAAAAGAAAGTGGCATATGTCAGCCACTGATTTAAATAGAAAAGCACATATTATTAAGTAATGAGTAATTTTGCTGCAAATTTGTGCCCCTCTGGGTGAGCAAAGAGAATGATGACCCAACTGTTACTTGCTGCAGAGCGTTAGGAGCCAGCACCCTATCCTTTATAAGAGACCAGATCTTCATCATATGTGTAAGCAGTTGTAAGTTAACTTTCCAGGATATGTGAAGTTTAACATCGACCATACATCCTAGCTGAATTTTTGCGTAGCCCCATACATTTACAATGCATACATGTCTTCCACTGTACCCATAATAGCCACCAGTGTAGACACTATGAGACTGCTACATGCAACATAATACAAATTATTGAGGCTGGAAGAAAATCACAAGTTTTTGATCATTGAAACACAAGGAGCTGTCCTGGTTTTTAATCGACGTGTAATATCTGGTGTTGCATGTCCCAAACAAAATAAAAAAGTCAGTCCTCGACACAGAAGGATTCAATGAATCCAGGTATCATGCAGCTACATGAAATCTACTGGAATTTAGCACAAAACTTGAACGCGATCTTTGAAGAATGGTTGTCATATTTAAAATTTAAAAAAATACTAGCATGAAGTGCAACGAAAACCTTACCTTATTGTACTAGCTCCAACAGAAAAGTAAGGAAAGCCATGAAGCAATGTCAAATTCTCGTCTTCCTAGGCTTTCTAACGTATGGAAGGAAATTTCCCAAATACCTCGCACTTAAAAACGCAACCAGAATCTTACTCTTTCACCAATCCGAAGCGTCCCAAAAGGTGTCAAGGATAGCCCATGAAATTCTCAAACTTCGAGCGCGGAAATCTTAACGATCTTTTTACACTTTTGCTTTGCATCCCTCCCCTAGTTGGGAAGTGACACGCAGAAGACACGATCACAACGCACTTTGATTGGAAGAAGTAAAACTGCATTCTATTGGTTATTTAACAATAGAGAAGCCTTGACTGTGCTCTGTTCTGTTATAAAGCACGCAGGAAGCGGCTAGAGCACGAAAGAAGTGTAGGGAGAAACACGAGACGTAGTCGAGTGTTTCTTCCCACTTCTTGAGTGCTTTAGCCGCTTCCTAAGTGCTTTATAACAGAACAGAGCACAGTCAAGGCTTCTCTATTTGTTTTATTATAAAGAATCCGTTAAATTCCCCAAGCATTACTTTCAATTTTCAAAACAAACTTAATTTCCAAAGCGAACAACAATGTCGTCAGCATGCTCTATACTCTCATAAAGCACGCTACAATAAGCCAATCAGAATCCCTGTTTGAATGGTTCAAATAATCTGATTGGCTTTACAAGACTAAAGCTGTCAAAAGTGTCAAACCATCAAAGTTCAAAAACCATCAAAGTTCACATTCTGCGATAGTTTACAAACTAAAATAGTTCGGAAAGTCGAATTTAACACTTTTGCCTGAAGTTTTTAAGTCTCTAATACAGAATCTTGAAGTTAAATGTTCAGTGAACTTCAGCCGAATTATGGCTCATAAAAACACGCGAGTTTTTTCACATGACAAGGTAGAAAGCAAACTGTTCAAGGCGAGTGTTTTTTGTATGAACGACAGCCGAATTCACCGGAACATGAAGATCGCACGTGATGACAGCGCCGCAAAACTCGGCTGCAGTGACTGATGTGACTTTCCACTCAACGTATCGGAAAGGATATCAGAGCAAGCTTTTATTTTTTCACTCGAAGGGTGGCCGATGTAGTTTCTGAGGCTTGCTTTACTGTGATGACCGGAGATCGCCATGATGAGCGAGCCGCGATGGACTTCAGCATGATCATATTCGCTCAGACACCGTCATGATTAGTATGAATTTTAACAATTATGCCAGTTTGGTTACATTTGTCATCATTTCTGTTTTGTTCTGTTTTGTTTTTGAACACTGAACTTTATATACTTTTCGAATGTTAGCTGTGTTTGATTTTTATTTCCGTACGTAAGCTTGCAATCTAACTGAGCGTGAATCAATCTTTAAAACCTCGAATGTCTATTTTGTTTTTCCTTTGAGGATTTTCGTATCTGCTCACGTTTTAATAACGTAAATTACGGCGCCTAGTATGTTTACAAACCTTTGTTTGATTCTTCTGTTGCTACTTGCCGGCTCGCTTCAGTTCCGAAATTTCACTTTCAATTATCGGAAAAAAGCTAAAAAGAAGTCCCGGAAAAGCTCGAACATAATACAATTGGTAGATGGCGTGACAGCTGTAGCTCAGTTCTATGCTCTATACTCTCATAGAGCACGCTCTTTCAACCAATGACAGCGCGCGTTATATTCGAACTTTATTATAAAATGTGTGAGGACATAACCACAACGGAAGACACGACTGCAACGCTACATCGAGATCATGTTGCGTATAGGAGGGACTAGGGAGAGGGAATTCAATTTGTTACCCAGACCTCTTCATTCGAATTGTATTTGCATTTACTTTCCTCAATTCCTGTTTACGAGCGAAAATTTGTTGTGCTACATCGAGTTTCTTTCAAAGTTTCCTCAGTTATTTCCAATTTCCTCATCTGTTTCCATATAGGAAAGATAGACCCCTTTCAGCCGGGTTAAGGAACAGTGGGAACAAACAATTAAAGGTAAGAAATATCAAACTTTCGACGGAATAATGCGAGGTGATATTTTTAGACGCAATCCTTTTTTTTTCCCAGAGTGAGATAAATCGAGCTTTCAATCACCGTGAATTATTTTTTGTAGACGCCTTTCGACTGAAAGTTTCCTTTGGCCTCATGTCTGCTCAAAAAGAGAAAAAAATCATATGCTCCGAAAACACTACGGCGAAACATATTTGAGAATGTCTGAATAAACTCACAATAAAGCGAATGATATAAACGAAATCGTGTAGTCATCCGAGAAATTATGAATGGTTTTACTATGAGAAGTCATTATTTGAATCCTCTAGATTACAACCCTTTACTCTTAAGATGCATTAAAACCTAGAGAGGATAAGTAGTTGCCTGAATGAATGAGGTTTGTAATATGAATAACTATGAATAAATATGAATACCCAGTATGTAAAGGTCTGCCCTTGTATACATCATCGTTTCACAACTGAAACAACGTAACGTTGCTTCTCAACATCATTTGACCCGAGTTATTTGCTATGATGCGTGTACAAGAGAAAATAATGTCCCATAATTTTCAAATGACGTGCATCAAAATTATATTCGCTTGTAAAGACTTCACGCAATAGCTTAGTATAATTAGCTTAGAAATATTCTGCGCGGACTCTGGTTAGGGGGTTCCCCTTGACGAGATTTTTCAAAAATAACGTAACAGAGTCTTTTACAAACTTTCCTCTCCTTAGTATGGTCTCCGAGTTATTTCTTTTACTCTAATACGTTTACTTCCGAGAGGAATGAGTCGAAAATCGAAAAGGAGGCGCTGAATCCATCATATATTTAGCTGAGCTGTTAATTAAGGGATTTTGTGTTTGCTTGATCACCGTGCGCACTTATGGGTGAATCTATGAAACGAACCGTGGTTCGATTGCGGCAGATGGGGCAGTCATTATAAGTTTGAATCATACATTTCACGAAACTTTCACTCCGTCTAAAAAGAACAGCCGTTGTCGTTTAAGAAGTTGCCCAGATATTATTACGTGAATAGTTTACGGTGTGAATTTACACGGTTGACTGATTTATTTTAATTTGCAAAGATCATTCTATAATCTGTCAGGACATGTGTCTGGGGTTTCCCGTCTGGAGTGTTTTTGAAGATGACGTAATGCACAATTTGTTACCAATCTTGAAAGCCTTTTTCATAGCTCTCACAGGAGTAAATAAACTATCCAGTTTTGTTGAAATTTGGATCTTCATAGCTTTGAGGCCCCGTCAGCTTTTTAAGGCAATTTTTGAGTACACAGTGAATTTAATTGAGTCTTAATTTTTGTAAAATATACTTCTTGTCCCCAATTCTTTTCCAAGATAAACAATAGGAGGGTAATGGCTGAGATGCTGAGACCCATTGACACTTTTAGAGAATATACAGAAAATATAAAGAAAATAAAAAGTTTTGTAAAAAGTTGGAAAATTGGATAAATTCAAGTGGTAGTAAATGTGCTTTTGCGATTAGCAGTGTCAAAGCCTTAGTTTAAGTTTTCTGTTGATCTAGAAGAGCCATATTCCAGTTGTAAACCAAAATACATCACGGCGAACCTTGATAAACGAGGAAGCTAAAAATAATTTCGATTAAACCATAAAATCAAGTTTGAGACCATAATCGTTATTTCTTTTGTTGTCGTCAACCGGAAAGCCAGTACGTTTCATAATTAATTTACTTCAATTAAGCAAAGTTTCATCAATTTTCAGTGCAGCTCATACCAGAATACGTCAATATATATCTCGCATCCAAAGCAAATACACTAGTTCTGTTCTCTATTAAGAAAGACAAACTGAAATTGAAAGAAAGTCTAGCAGCGTCCAGCACGTTAGTTTCTGAGTGGCTTTTACCAAAATGTAAAGTAAAAGTGAATTAAATCGTAACCGACGTTTCTTAAAACAGTCTTCTGCATTCCCAGATAGCGATATGGCATCCACCAGCACTTCAGGAACAATTGGGCAAATTGCTAAACCAGAGTACACAAACTGGTTGGCACTCGGTCATGCCTTAACAACGGTCCTATGCCAGGGACTTCGTCCCTTTGTTACGCAAGAGATGGAGATTTTATACAGAAATGTAAGAGCGAGAGTTGCTGGACCGTGCACGTGTTGTTATGTCCCTAGCAGAAGGCCAAATCAGTTCCACGATACGCGCTCATGTTTATGGGCACAAGTCTTGACCACATGTCACTACAGATTCAAACCAAACTGGAAGCAAAGTGATCCAGCCAAGTGGATGGACCCAGTTGTTGGTCCGTGGGAAATAGCTAAACTATTCCTTCCTGAACTTGGAGGGCATGCTGATATCAAAAGCGCAAACGACATGGACATCAATGGTATCTTGAACTTAATGTACTGGTGCAAACATTTCGCTATTCCTCAGCCCTTGATCAAGGATGTTCGAGACGTTCGAAACGACAAGTGTGTTCACGTGCCCAAGCTGGAGTTATCTGATGCTGATAAGTCTGCCGCTTTTGACGCAATCGAAAACTTGCTAAAGGACCCTCAACTGGCTGCAGACGAAGACGCAAAGAAAGCTCTCGGAGAAGTAATTAGTCTCAAGAGCATCAAAGACTTACACAATAGGGAGCCTCAGATTTTGGCCGACCTAAAAGAAGTTATGAATGAAAGGGTGTTGAACTTGACAGAAGAGTCTGAAAGAAACAAAAAGATGGTAGCAGAACTGCAAGAAAGGCAGGAAAGTTTGGAAATGGCTTTTGAGGACCTCGAGCGATTTAACAGGCCCCTTCCACTAAGAGCGCTAGGGTGGGTCTTTCAACATCTGGTGTATGTACCTGGGATCCTCTACACATTCCTCAAAGGGAAAAAGACAGAAATTTTATTTTTGATCCTATTTTCATGCTTCTGTAGTGTTTTGGATTATCATACAATAATTAAGGAAGGTAGGTTAAAAATCCAACTTTTTTATTCCCATTCTCATGTAAGTGTGGACAGTGACTCCTATTAAACCAAAGAGATGAGTGGTTCGTGTAACATTCACGTGTAACTATTTTTATCGAGTTTTAAAACTGTCTGTAGCCACAATCGCTAACAAGAGTGTTGAGATACTTGCAATAAGCTACGTTAAGCCGAGTTTCTGTTTTTTTCCTGGCATTTTAAATCTTAATTAAACATTTACAAATTGATAAAGGGGTAAGTTTCTAAAGAAACTGTGGTGCTGCGTCGGTAGGAGAGTATAGCAGGTAATTTAGTGTTAACAACTGGGTTGAAAACGTAAATTAGCCACCGAAAAGGGTAAAAAAGCGGACGTTTCGAGCGTTAGCCCTTCTTCGCTCTGACGAAGGGCTAACGCTCGAAACGTCAGCTTTTTTACCCTTTACGGTGGCTAATTTACGTTTTCAACCCAGTTGTTAACACTAAATTACCTGCATTTACAAATTGGTCGAACAGACCCTAAAAATGACATGATTAAAATAAAGAGTTTTTGTAACGATAATAGAGTTAAAGCTGTACTTTAATCACAAGTTTGTTAAGATTTTCGACAAAACAGTAAAACGCGCATCGGAAAAAAGTCCATCTATTATATAAGCTTCGAGAAAACGCATTTCATTCATCTCAAAGGTAGAGATTGCATTCAATGTATTAAAAACGGCAATAAGAATTAACTGGTCAGAAGGCATGTTTTTATAATTTGAAAAGCTTTGTTTTGTGTGCGCAAATCTTAACAACACAACACTCCGCCTGATGTGACTAGTTGAAAGCTTTCTTCGTATTCTCTCCATCACTCGGGATGCGATCAGAGCAAGCAGTTTAAATTCGACGCCTCTTTTTATGTTAAAAACTTGCAGTGTAATCGAATAAGGTTTTTTCTACACTTGGGTCACCAAATTTGGTCTCTAGGGTTTTAAAAATCTACTCAACGTGCATTTTCTGCAGGATGTTTGATAAGAAGATACGGTGATCAGTGGAGCCTGAAGCACTTCGACTTCGATGAAGTTGCTGCTACGTCTAGAAAAAATTTCATCGGACGGCAGTGGTTGTATCGTGAATTAGAAGACCTTATGGAGCATTCAGGCAAGCGGGGTGTAATGCTTGTGGGAAACCCTGGTTCTGGTAAGACAGCTTTTGTCTCTAATTTACTTTGTTCCAGGGCAGCAAGTTCACTCATTCATGATAGAATAGCCGGATTTCATTTTTGTATGCACTCAGATAAAGGGACCCAGAATGCAGCCAAATTTGTGCAAAATCTGGCTAATATGGTTGCGTCGACTTTTGTGGACTACAATGCAGTCATTTCGAGGGACTCCTATGTGCAACGAGTCTTAAAAGAGGACTGTTCTCAAGCCCCAGAGTCGTGTTTTCAAGAGGGAATCCTCATACCTTTAAAACGCCTGCCGAAGAAGCCTACAGAGACATGGTATATTGTTATTGACGCTTTAGACGAGTGTTCAACCGATGGCAAAGATGAAATTTTAACCATGCTGAAGTCTAAAGTCTGGCGCTTCCCAAAGTGGTTAAAACTGATTAGTACGTCACGAAATGTAAGTTCTATCACCAAAAGTCTTGCTGGTATACAAGTTTTAGAGTTGCGATCAGACGACAGGAGAAATATAGAAGACATTGACACCTACTCATCATTTAAAGTATACCCTTTGCAAACTTCAATTTTACACAGAATAAAAACTTTTTTCGCAATCCAGGAAAACAGCACACCCAATGAAAACATTGTTGACAGGCTTGTGAAAAAATCTCAAGGTAATTTTCTGTATGTGGCTGTTGTGCTAGATTTTCTTCTTGAAGCACCAGAAAGTTTCAGCTGGAGTAATCAAGAATTTCCTGAAACGCTTAGCAGCATTTTTCAACTAAGCTTTGAACGCAAGTTTAGTTCACCTGAGTCTTTTAGATCTTTACGCGAGATCTTTGAGGTCCTGGTTGCAGCATATTCCCCACTCTCTGCAGAAGACATATACTCTCTCTTATCACTTGACAACCCTACCTTTGATTTTGAGTACGATATAATGCCAAAATTAGATGAAGTATCGTTATACCTGTGGAAATCAGAAAAGGGACTTGTCAAGATTTTTCACGCGTCCTTCTCTGAATGGCTGACCAGTAAATCCAATGTGGGAAAGTTTTATTATGTAAAGAAAAAGAAAGGCCACAGGCGTCTTGCAGAATATTACCTCCAAGATTTAAAGAAAACCAGGAAAACCTTAACACCAGAGAAAGCTTTCTTTCTGGCTTGTCACATCGTCGAAGGAGGTTCAAATCGGAGTCTTATAGATGACTTCCAGTCAATCCCTTCGTATCTCGTCAATGGATCAGATGAAGTCAAAACCACTTCGCTACACCTAAGTTCGCGTTTGCCTAATTCAGACGTAACAGAGCTGTTATTGACACATTTCCATGATATCGACTGTTTGGATAATAATTATCGTACACCTGCCTTTGTGGCCGCAGCACACGGAAGGCTTGAAAACCTAAACATTTTCCTTGATAGAGGAGCAAACATAAATCATGTTGTCTCCTGTCCAAACTTTGAGGCGTCAAGGTATGCCAAAAATGCCGTGCACATGTGTCAAAGAGGGACCTGCGAGTATTCATTGTTGCATATAGCTGCGCAGGAGGGAAATTTTGGTGTCGTGGAATTTCTGCTCGAGCATCATTTGAGTCCAATGGCAACAACTGGTTGCAATAACACAGCCGTCCAGTTAGCAGCTTCAAATGGATATATTGAGGCAGTTATAGCCCTTGATAAGGCTGGTGCGGTTTTAGATGGCATCTGTTTGCATCATGCTGCTGCTGAAGGGCACAGCCATATAGTAGAATACTTACTAAATGAAGGAGTAAGGGACGAATGCATAGGTGTGCGTTCTATCGTCGAATTCTACTCAGCAGGAAACAAAGAGCAGGATATCAAAGTACATGCGTATGACAATAACCATTTGAAAATGCGCGAGACAGCACTTCATGCTGCAGCTCGGAAAGACCATCCAACAGTAATTGAATCTCTTTTACGCCACGGAGAGAAGAGTGCTATCAACTGTTTGAATGTTGCGGGTAGACGTCCCCTGCACGAGGCTGTTTATCATAACAAGTATAACGCACTGAAAGCAATGTTAGCAGCTGGAGCAAACACTTCTTTACGTTGCGATTCAAGCAAAGAATCATTAGGCCCATTACAGAATCCTTGCACCTGTGAGTATACCCCGCTGCATATTGCTGCAAAACATGGCTCTCATAGCGTTGCTGAGCTGCTTATTGCCCATCACGCAGACTTAAATGCGGGAGATTGCAATGGATCATCTCCTCTTCACATTGCCTCCTGTCATGGAATGATATCACTTATAAAACTACTCGTCAACCGTGGAGCAAGAATCAATGGCCGTAGCCTTAATGGTTCCACTCCCCTTCACAGTGCAGCTACATGTCTTGCATCAAAAAGTTTCCGTCCTTTGTTTGACCTTGGTAGTGACTTCCTCGCAAAGGACGACAATAACATGACAGCACTTTTTTATATCGTCAAAGATGTGAGGGCTATTGGTATGGAATACTTCCTTGACTTATATGTTAACAACCCGAAAGATTGGATCGAACTACTGCCAGGTGAGAAGGAACCACATGTGGAAAGCGATCTTCAGTCATCCTGGTTGTCTCAAATGATCGAACTGAGCAAAAGCTATGCTGAACATGTAGCTGCAACTTGGCAATTAGTTGATGACGAAATTTTTACAAAAACCTACGATGAAGTTCTTTTTTCAGTAGGACAGAAAGGGAACTCCTCGCTTATTTTGACTGGAATCAATGCAATGGAGCGCTCCAGGCTAGTTACCATAGCAACTCCTCGTGCTTTCTTGTATGACACGATCTTCCATGACATCTGGAAAGGGTTCGTCCCAACTTTTAAAAAAACAAATGGAGCAACTTTAGTCCCAGAACCAATACTCAAAGCCCTATCTCGTACAGCTGCTATACTTCTACCAGGAACATTTAACTGTTCTGTGTTAACGCTGGTAGTAAAAGCGAATTTAATACGCCTCGTAAATATTCTTTTGAGATCAGGCTTTGACGTCGATTGTCAAGATGACCTAGGAGATACACCGCTTTCAGCATATCTACACACTGGTGGTCGTCACATGTCTAAAGTTATGGTAAAGAACAGGGCGACAATCACCATTTCCTGCGATGAGCCCTTTGGAGAATCTATACTGCACATGATGTCTTACCACAAGTTACATTACTTGCACTATCTTCCTAAGTTCATTTTTGGAGAGGAAACGTTGCCTGAATACTTACTATCAGATAATTTTTTATTTGATTACTTTTTGAATGAATACGAATTGATTCAAAATGACGGACACTCGGAAACAATCTCGACTGGCGATGGACCATTGATCCTTGCGGTCACGTCGCACCCTCGTGGACCCAAAATTTTAAATGAATGCTTTGATTCAGAGGGTTATAACGCCTTACACAGAGCAGCACAGGGTGCAAACTTGATTGCCATACAGAGATTCCTGTCCTTGGGAGCTGACCCGTCTATAGAAAATTCATACGGATTCTCACCGCTTTGGCTTGCAGTTTTAAATTCTGTAAAATACACACCGTCCTTGAATTTACACCAAAGAAATGTTATTACAGCCCTGGAGGTGGAGTTCGCCTCCATATCAGCCTCTGTTATTTTGGAACATCTTCTCCGAAGTGATACAATAGATATGGGCTGTAGCGAAAGTCGTAATAACCTAACTTTGTATCATGTCGCAGCTATTAGAGGAATGTGGCAGTTGGTAGCTCATTTACTTTCGGATAAGCGAATAACGGGCATTGATGTAAACTGCGCTAATAAAGATGGTATAACCCCTATGTATCTGGCAATGCTTGTTGGTGGCCGTTCTTGCGACTGGCATAGTCCCTGGTGCAAAGTCATTCAAACAATCAAGGACTACGGCGGAACTCTTCAGATCCCCGTAGTCGAAGCTGAATACTTCCTTCTTTTCGATCTGTTTTTTGGTATGAGCCCTGGTCAGTTGTTGCTGGAGTTAACAGATTCTGAAATACTAACTCTTCAAGAAAATTGTGGACACGAGGAATGTAAGGAGTATAAATCCAGAGAAGATCTCCTTTCGAAGTCATTTTTCGAGATTAACATGTTATACAGTGATTATAATGAACAAGTGGATCACTGTTCTATGTGTCCGATGGAATGTCCACCCGTGTTAAGGAGAGATCTGCTCCACTTTCAAACCATGAGTTCGATTTTCATTCGCCGGCTGAGACCTTTAATATCAGAGCATGGTGTAATAAGTAAACATTTCTCTACGTTTCTGGAAACAGTAAGGAAGCGTGTAGAATTACTGATACTGAAATTAACAAAACCATCAGTAAGAGTATCTCACGAATGCACAGAAAACTGCAGGAAAGAAACTTTGGCTCTTGGTGAGAACAAAATATACCAAGAAGCTGTTAATTTGGAGACTGCTATGCACAACCTATATAATAAATTCAAAGCCAGCCTAGATGAACTAGAAGAACGTTTGTCGCAAGTTAAATCTGATATATTTTCAACAGAAAGACCCCCACATGTATTGCTGGAGATAAGAAGTGCTTTGCATAAATATGGCATCACTCTAAGCTGTGACTGGCAATCACTTGCAGCTAGATACGTAATACTGCGTTTCCAAGTTCAGAACTTACAACTTGGCGTGAAACAAGTACTTACAAATTCCAGATTATTGGGAATCTCGGACTTTGCGTCATTGCGCATGAAGACTGTTTTCATTGAATCGCCTCAAGAGACGCTGAAACTTATTCTAAGACTTACCTTAAAAGAGTCGTCCGAATACTCCGACGATTTTCGGTACCTTATGATTTTGAGATTCCGAAAGCCTCCACTATGGAAAGGTACCTTTGACGTGTGGCGAACGTAGTTCAACTTATCTGTAATCTGCCACAATTATGATGCACAACTGTTCTTTCAATTTAAAGCATGATCAAAATAGGCACGATTAACGAATGAAAGAAACGAAGAAGGGAAAATGAACCAAACATACTGTTTAAAATATGTTTCACACAAACACTCTCACACTCTATCTGAGTGATTGAATTTGGTGACATTTTTAGTGTAGTTGACACAATTAACAAACCCCACAACCTCGGATAAAAAGGAATTAAATACAATGCTGACAATTAGCTTTTTACCGTCAACCGTCAAAAAGCAGTTCAATATTAACCGTCCGACGCTTTAAAGGTGTTTCGGATCTTGATATTTTCCACATTTAAGCTGCTTATTGTAAACAGTTGAAGATTTTAAAGGATTTTAAACTGGTAAACTAGTTTCCGGGCTTATATATTCATATTAATTAATCGATGTATTGAATTTCAATATTCAATATTTAAAAGGGCTAACCTCTTTGGTAACTTATAAATTATGGTAATTAAGTTATCACGCCATGCAGTGTCATTCCCGCCTTTGGACCAAGTAAACATCATGTCATGTCATGTTATGTTGAGCTTGTTGAAAACCGTCGTGAGCTTTTATCTGAAAAGAGAAGATGGTGCAGCTATCGAGTGATTCAAGACAAGACTCTCTGCTGGGGAAAAGCATTGGAAGTCTTCGGAAGCACATCATTGACTTCCTTGAGATCACTGAATAGTTTACCAAATTTGGGCTCGGCTCGTATGAGCCCAAGCCTTACCGTTTGTAAAATTAGTAGACCTCCACATCGTTTCACATTTTTGACTTGAAACCTTCAGCGTCCTGCAATACGCTGTGGACTTTGGTAGCATCTCGAAGGAGGACTTAAGAGAATCACAAAGTTGGCGGCGAAGTTCCCTACTCACTCTGGCTCCTATTACCTAGTGCCCCAGTCTATGCATTTCCGGTCTGTTTTAGGGACTACCTTCTGGGACAATCTCCAAAGAAAGGGAACTTGTCATGAAAGAGTGGATAGAGAACTACAGACTAGTGAGCCAGGAATGTTAGAGTAGAGATCACGAATGACAAAGCAGGTGCACTCCCCCTTGCTGTTTGCGCACAAACTTCTTCAGTGTGTGGAAAGGTCCTTTTGCATGGTGACTGTGAGGGAGACGACTAATCTCTTAATACTGTGGCCAAAACTTGTCGAACCATAAGCTTTGTTTGCGACACAAGTATACCACATGCCATACCAGTGTTGAACTTGAACCATCACAGGTCGACGAGTACGAAAGCGACTCGGGACGTGAAGTCATGGAAAGTAAATGTGAAGAGTTCAGGGACTTTCCCATACTTAGATATTCCGGTTATAGATCCAGGACAAGATCTGTTTCACATATCTCTCAGTTTTCTATAGTTTTTTTTGCATTTGATTGAGGAGAAGCTCTCATTTAAATGATTAATTGCCTCCTTTAAGTTCGTTACTGCTCCACATTCTCCGTCCTTGATGGCTTTATCAGTAAACTTAAAATCAGTAGGATAAATAGAACACATATTTTCATCAGAAAGTTTTATTTTATTATTTCATTGAAGTTCTTCTTTCAATACCACCAGTCCAACGAAGAGGCGCAAGTTCTGCAGTGTTTCGAGAGACCACAAGACTGATTAACGATTGTAGAAAAGTGATTTAACCGAAAGTAAGTACCTCGCTTAAGATGAAGCACGTCATAAATACGAAAAAAAAATTTAAAACACCTAAACCAGTACAGAATACCAGAACTTGCCTTTGTCAAATGGACTGTTGGTTCTCTGCAGAGGAAATCCAGCTACCTCTCAATTTTATTAGGAAAATCTTAATCACCTTACTGGTATGCCTGATCCTTGTTTGATTTGAAAATAAACAAAAAACAAAAAACAGAAGACGGATGGAGTAACAGAAAATCAACCGAAAATCTTAGCTGCTAAGTATTGAGACCATATAAGGTGTTTTTAGGTTCATACTTCTGATTCTTATCTATTTTGCATTTCTTAGACTTCACCATAATTCGAGTGCAGAAGTATTCCATCAACAAATAAAAAAATAAAAAAGATGAAATAAGATGGCATAAAAATAAAAGCAAAACTATCCCTTAGTCTTGGGATCAATTACACTTCTTCAATTACTTGAAAAGAGAACTAGCTCAGTTGTTAGGGAAAATTAATATGAATTAAAGATGTCTCAGAATCTCAGATTCCAACTGAATAATACGTTGTTCCAATACATCTCTAACTGTTTAATTTGAATCGGTTTGGTTTTTTAGCGCGAAAACATGTCAGTTGAGGATTCAAATCTTAATGTTTCATTTCCGTTCTTCTCTTGAAGAAGAGGCATGTGAAACAGAATTTGATTTTATCTTAAACGTAAACTAGAAACTCATCAAGTCCCAAAAAGACCCAACACAAAGGAAAATGCGTGTTTTATTGCTCAACATGATATCATAGAGTAGTCATTTTACATTTAATTTGCAAGAACCATAATAGTAATCAAGAAAACAATTGAAAATCTGGTAATGCGGAAAGTATATCCCCTTGTGTATAGCATCTGTCTGCCCCTTTATTATCATTTACAGGATAAATCACAAATTTGACTTAAGAAGGGAAAATGGAATTGAACCTGCACTGATGACCACACACAAACTGAAAATTCGACTACAAAATTGTCAATTGAGGCCATTATGGTGAAATAAGTATGAAAAAAATTGCGTAGTAAATTTTCATCAAGAAGTCCTCCTATTTCAGATCTGAGAAAATGAATATAAAGCTCTTTGAAAATAATAAGTACTCAAAATTTTCCAATTTTCTTCATATGTAGCGTTGGTGCCGGTTTCTTTGGGATCCTACATAGACGGGTCACACCCTAAACCCCAGTTCCCATTCCTGAAAAAAGGGAAGGAAAAGTAGCCATTCGAAATAGTAGCAAGAGAGGATCCGCATCATTGTTGAATTTAGCATGTTCCACATTTCCTCATGACGAGGGATACATTTACATGTCTTACTTGGACTACATGAACTGGGATATCTATTTTATTTCTACATAACCACTTTTGGCGAGGGTCCTGGGGTGAATGTTTGCTCCAAACAAAGCTGTGCGAAACTGTTGGATAGTTTTAAAGTAGAAGGATCTTTTCTCTTTTCAAAAAAGGAAAACTCTTTCTGGTAGCAGATTGACCAAATGTGACGATGGTTTGTGTCCGTGGTTTATTCAAAAGCAGAACAAAATCCCTTAGAAATGGGGGAAATATTCATGGCCTCATGTTTTATTGAATGAATAATAGGTTTAACTAGCAATTTATGGGCACTTCGTTTTCCAGCAAGAGTTTCAAATTCCCTGTTTAGGATACGAGTTTGTGTCAGGTGGTCTCTCACAGAGGTTAGATTAAGGAAAACTTAAAAAAAGGTTCATTAACTGTTTAAAGTCAGTCTTAAGTTTTCGATGACTATTAAGTACGCTTCAAAGAAATATCATAGATAGGTAATGAATAAAATAATTATGAATCAAAAGAAAATAAATATGCAAGATAACAACTTTCGATTCAATTTCCCTCCAAAATACTTCCATTGTCTCTGTTGTACAGTAGCATGTTATATTTCATGAAACATTGCATACAGAATTCAGCTTAAGGTTTTGGAAAGCAAAAGATTTTAAAAGTTCGCAAAAAAACTTTCCTACTTACTACAAGTCCTTCAATTTTTTCTTTTTAACTTGATCTGCAATAGTTCCGGGACATGTAGCTTGTTCATCATATCAGCCACAACAACTACCTCTTTGATGGTCTGTGCAGTTTACCCAAAGTGTTCGTTTTAAAGGTGTCGTCTGGCGGTCATTCTGGCAAGTTTTATTAGAGTTCCTGTGATGCTTAAAGCGCAGTCCTCTTTTAAAACCTGGGTGCCTTGTCATCAGTTATGCCTGATGAGCCAATCAGTTACGTTGCCAACTGTTGGTAAATGAAGTGGAGTTCTGGTGACCTGTCTTTCCTGGCTCCTTAGTCTCTCCCGAATATAACTCCTGAGGAAAAATCAGAAGATTTCAAATTTTTAATTATCAGTGCTTTAGTTTTTTGTCATTACCTATTCATTTAATCTTCAACATTATCATTCAATGTGCATACAATTTATTCGTTACGTAATTTTATATCTTTATTTTACGTTACGTTTATACTTTCACACAAGCCTTTACACATAGTTCACGAAGTTTGCCTTAAAGTCTAATGTGATCCCTTTCTTTTAATCTGTAAAAATTGAATGGACACACCTTTTCAAATTAGTGAAACTGGCATCGCTATCATGGCTCGCGCATATTCTTTTCAGTTCTGCGTCACACTTTAAGATCACTCCCCAAAAGTTCGATTCTGCATCTGTCACTTATGATGCTGATCATTTGATTAGAATGGAACCTTTAGGTCAGGTATCTGCTCAGGGGACCGGAGTGAATTCCAGTAGATCGCAATGGACAGTATGGTAATGTTATTCAGTCTTTACGGCTTTACGCTTCCTGGATAATCGGTGGGAAAAGTACAAAAAATGTAACAAACGAACATAGTAATCGCAGTCCCCGAAACGAAACTGCTTTTAGGACAAAAACCATGTGCTACCGAGTCACGTTACCTAATCAATATCCATTCGTTCATTCGGCCGCTAGTCGGCCCCAACACCCGGCAATTGCGAACTGTCCTCCGAAATCAGTTAACGTCAATCTTAATAATGCATTGCAAACTGTGTGTTCTATAGAAAATATAGCGAAGGGGAGATCTTCTCAGATTCCCTAAAATCCCCCAAGTTGCCGTTTTCTCTCATCTATGCGTTGAGCACTAAAGAGCTCTATATTCCCCTGTTCAAGGCAGATTCAATGATTACTGATTGTGATATCACATAAACATTCTAGGACTACCTTATATTAGCCTTCAATGTATTTCGCGAGCTGAATGATTTCAATTTCATTTTACCTTTTCCCCGGTCCTTTCTGCAAAAATGCTATAGAGACTTGTCAATGTAAAACTAATTTACAGGAAGTCATTTTATATATTTCTTTCTTACCCGATATTCAGGTCATAAAGCGTTTCGCTCTTATAGAACGTTGTCATTGTCGACCACATGAATGGAGTAAAAGTTACCACGATGAGTTCCATCTAAATTACTTTTATCGTGATTGTGATTTCCTTTTCTTTATCTTTAGGGTACGAAGACGTTGGTTGTTACAAAGACAAACAAGATCGTGCCATCGAAACATTAGAAGGAAAGGATTCCATCTTAGATGACGCGTACAATTCTCGCACAAATCCCATTGCAAAGTGCGCCGTCACTGCAATGAGAAAGGGTTACAGTATGTTTGCAATTCAGAATGGTGGCTGGTGTGCAGCAAGTTCTACTACGCAACAAACCTTTGACAAAAATGGAAAATCACGAATTGTATGGCCGACGGTGAAGGTGGACCTTGGGCTAATAATGTCTATATATTAAGTGGCACCTTTTTGCGCAAAATCATAAGACTTCAGTAACTTGTTCGAAACCTGACTGATAGTTCGCTCTCGGATGTCTTCAAACTTTGAGATTCTCCTCCTGATGACCTCAAACGTTACTTGCTAACTAGTATAATAATTTCTTTTGTTTTTAGTTAATTTAGATGATAAAAGAGTTGGAGGTCATGATAATTCTTCAAGTCACATGGTTCAACCTCTCGAAGAACAGACCCGAGCATGAACAGTCCTCAAAAGCACACACTCAATCTTCAAGTTTTAAAACTGGATCATTTTTCAAGCCTTCACTCATCAAAAGAAACCTTTTTCAAAAGGGATGGCAAAAAATGATTACGTTTAGATTCTATGATTTATTTACCGTACGCATCGCACATAAGGATCACAGTAGACTACAGGTATTGCTTCGGCCTCGCAAATAAAAGAAAGATACACACTTGTTGCTACCCGTTTCCATATCAACCGAGTTTGCCAGCGTATAACGATAAGTTCCTCTCGCCAAGGGACAAAGGGTTCAAGTCTATCCAGATAATCATTGAAGGAGAGAAAAATATATAGAACAGTGCGTATCATGCGAATATGTACACCGTTTTTATTTCAGCGCGTAAGGTGACAGTGGACTGCGCGCGGCGGTAGACTGGAGACTAAATTGCACGCGCAACTTACGGGCGTTACGGCCCGGTCCGCCGCTTTTCGCGGCAGAGTGGTTTAGAAACGTTATTTCAGAACAGCACGCGCGGCAAAAATGCCGATAAGAAACTGGGTCGAGAACGCCCTCGCGTTGTGTTGAAAAGTGATTTAGCAGTCGTTGCAACGAGAATCATCGCCTCGGCTTTTTAAGATTACCATCATCTTTGAATTTTCGGTTTTAAAGACCACTCTAAGGACAACGAAATTATCTTCTTTGAGAGTTATGTAACAAGCGGAAACAAAGGATAGTTATAGATACTGCAAGTAAGTTGTTAACTATGAATCCACATGGGCGATTAAACTTTGAAACTAATCTATTACAGTTTAGTCTCGAGTCTGTTGATTCATCTATCAAATTTTGAAGCCCACTAAATAATTTTTCTATGATTTGTGTCGCAGTCATTTCGTTTCGTGCTACTAGATTTCAGCACTACTCGATTTTCTTCATAATTTTGTAAAGGATAATTTGGAAATCGTCGTCGTTTTTCCCCTTGTTTACTGAATATTCTTCTCAATTATGACAGCACATCTCTTTTGAGCACCACCATTAGGTCACGTGGCTCGTAGAAAGCCGTGCCGAAATCAAGTTGATTGTTATTTTGTTATTTTCATCGGCGCTAATCAAAAATTTCAAACATAAAAAAATGCATATCTGAGCTATTCTCAATTTTTTTTCATCTCTGAGTTCAATTCGCAGAAAAGTTTTCAATCACGGTAAAAACGACAATAACATCAAATAACACTGAATAATACAGTAGGTAAGCGTCGTAATATTTCATTTTGATAAACTTCAACATGAAGCAAGTTTAATTTATTGATGAATTGATTCATGATAAAATTAACAGCGTCCCATTCTTAGAGTTTTCATACAGGATTAAAGAAATGTATCAAAGAACAGCCCTTTCGCTGTTTTAAGCCTTGCTCAATTACAAGTGTACCGAGTCCTAAAATCTTGGATTCGGCGCTTGCCAGCGATTGTGTTTCCGTTTGGGAATTCAGCATAAATGAAGCGGTAAATTTTTCCAAAGTACACCGAATAAACCAAAGGAAGGGACCAGGTTATCTTGGAAATGAGTTATGAAATAATTCCAAACAGCATTATCTCGTTTATAAGCGCCAAATTTATGCAAATCCCAGGCGTTTTGATCGCGACAGGAAAACCAGCGTAATGAAGTCCTGAACTTGTAGGGGAGAACGGCAACGCTAACACCGGAAGTCGAAATAGAATCGTGTCCAGACCATCCGCGCGCTTTCCCCGTTCTGAAATGACGTTCCCGTCCTCTTACTAAATCACTTTAATATGAAGATGAAACATTTTCACGAAGATGATGAACTGTTTGAAAGTTTGCAAGTATGACTGAACTCTCGCTGGAAAACCAAAGAAGTGAGGAAAGATGAAAATAAACAAACAATGCTAAGTCCTTGAATAAAATCAGACCCATGACCTTTGCAAAAAAATCATTATGTCTCAAATTTATATCATTGAAAAGTATTCATTGTGTACTTGTCTTAAATTCGATGCTTGGATTGCTGTAAGGAAGAAGAAAAAAAACTTATATTTAGTTACTTAGTTAGGCACGGTGCCGATGCTTTTCCTGACGATCTTTGCTCCTTGAATTTTTTGACTATAATAATTACTATGACGTAGAAAAAAGGCTTCGCATAGTTTTCACAGTAAAGTTTTCAGCTCGCTTAATCTTGATATAGTGGACTTAAATAATTTTCTACCCTGACCAAGTGACTCGATTAGTATGAAAGACCCTCGTCTAGGGGGGGACTAGGGAGAGGGAGTGCAATTTCTCACCCAGACCTCTTCAGTCGATTTGCATTTTACTTCCTCGACCTGTGTCTTCGAGCGTAAATTTGTTGTGCTGTTTTGAGTTTATGTCCAAGTTTCCATAGTTATTTCCAATTTCCTCATCTGTTTCCATAGAAGTAAGATAGACCCCTTTGAGCCGGGTTAAGGAACAGTGGGAACAAACAATTAAAGGTGAGAAACATTAAACTTTCAACCGAATAATGTCAGGTGATATTCTAAGATACAATCTTTATTTTGCCAGACTGGGATAAATCGAGCTTTCAAATTGCCGTGAATTATTTTTCGCATACGCCTTTCGACTTAAAATCATTTCCTTTGGCCTCACATCTACTCAAAAAAATCATATGCTTTGCAAACACTACGGCGAAACATATTTGAGAATGTCTAGATAAACTCACAGTAAAGCGAATGATGAAACGAAATCGTGTGGTCATCCGAGAAATTATGAATGGATTTACTATGAGAAGTCATTATTTTAATCCTCTAGATCACAAACATCTACTCTCAAAATGCATTAAAGCCTAGTGAGGATAAGTAGTCGCCTAAATGAATGAGATTTATGATATTAACAAAATATACCCAGTATGTAAGGGTATGCCCCTCTATATATCATTGTTTCACAACTGAAACAACGTAACAACATCATTTGACCTGAAGTATTTGCTATGATGCGTGTACAAGAGAAAATGATCTCCCATAATTTTCAAATGAAGTGCATCATAATTATATTCGCTTATAAAGACTTCACGCAATAGCTTAGTATAACTAGCTAAGTAATATTCTGCGCGGACTCTGGCTCATAGTCAGAAATTCCAGTCAGCGGCTTGAACGGCGGGCGCGTAAATTTCGGTATTCAAGATGGCGGACAGACGAAAGCATTCTGAAGGCTTCTATCGGAGCCTAAATGCTCTCAGTTCGGCAGATTTCATGGAAAGTCGACGGAAGAGAAAAAAAGGACCTGGCCCTTACTATCAAGTGGAAAGAGTTTTAAGCTGCAGGCGGAAGAAAGGAAAGGTAAATAGGACGTCTGCTTAAAGCGAATAACGTCACTCATTGATATTCAACAAAATCTTGTGCATAATTTTTAACCGCACGTACAAACAAGTGTTCTATGTATTTTTTTTTTTTAAGAATGAGTACCTAATTCGTTGGAAAGGGTATACTTCCCTGGAGGACACTTGGGAAGTGGAGGAAAACCTTAACGAAACCGCGATAAGGGAGTATTTTACCAGTCAAAATTAATTAACATAAAACTTAATTGTTTTATTATACTACTGCTCGGTCTAACACCAGAGTCTGGTCTAACACGAAACAGTTCGAGAGACAAGAAGCGATCGTATTTGTGTTTTTAATTGATTATTGTGTAACTTTTTGCATAAATAATTGGCCACTTTACAAGTATGTTAGATAATAATTAATTCGAACTATTTTGTTTAGGGCATTTAGAACATCCAAACCCTCAGAGGAAAGAATTAAAGAGGGATCTGATTTACTGGCAGTTGCTATTCTCCAACATCTCAAGAGCAAACATCAGACAGCCTCAGCCACAACTGTGATGGAAATTAGACATGATGTTTTTAATTATATTTTTAGAGGACGAGGAAGACCCAGCACAAAATCTGGTTGCATCTTGTCAGAGAAGAATGACTTTAACCGCTGTTCATTTTTCAAAGAATGTAACGACTGGAACATTTACACAGACAACCTTGGCGATGGCACACAAGTTGTGTTTCCTATCAGAGCTAAAGCTTTAGTGAGCTTAGCACCACAAACACATAAACTTGTGGAGGGGAAGCTTGTACCTAAGCCCAGATACCATCTCGAGAAAGTAAGTTTAAGTTTTAACTAGCCTTCAATTGCAGTATTGTGATTGAAACTGAAAATGTGAATGTCTGATTTTATGTGGGTCTAAGTGTAGGTACAAGCCATTACTATTGCACCAACCCTGCTCCTAAGAAATTATGTTGTTATAAGATATAGATTTAGCTAAGCCTAAAAGTGGAGCTCTTATTAGTTTATTTTCCAGCCCTACGTTACACAGAATAAAAACTGTAATAAAACTATCTACTGGCAAGTCTTTGTATTATATTTCAACCCAACCATTTCCTCAACATATAAATTAAGTTAGAAAGTTACATTAAAGCCGTACCATTTATGTTTGTCTTTGAAAACTTCTCTGTTTATGCACATGACACTGTAGCTGCTCAGGCTAGACTCTATTTTTTTTTTTTGTTTGTTGATCCTTTCTTTTCCCTTTTCCCTTTCTTTTTCTCTGTCCTGCCATCTGCTTTCTTCTTTTATTTGCTGGCCTTTTGAGACCTGTGCCATCTTTTGCTTGGGGTTGTTCATCCTGAATTTGTGATGAGGATGTACATGTATCTGTCGAGTTGCTGCCTTATATGTTGGGTACATTTGCTTCAGTTTGTCTCTTTTTACCCGCACGCTTGACACTGATTTCTTGCTCCCAGTATTGAGAATTGTGTTTTGTTTACTTTCTGCTTGCTCGTTCTCTTTCTCTTGGAAGCCGTTGTCTGTTTTCAATTCTAAGAATATCTTCAACTGAGTCAAAGTGGTTTGATTTTCGAAGCACTACATTCCTTGCAGAGTCATTGTTTTTCTCAACTCGCTGACCAGTGAATACTTTATAGATTGATGTGTTTGGAGGAAATAGGGGACATGAGCAAAAAGTACATGCATATATGGGGTAATTCTCTTCCTTTCATAGCCAATTCTCTTTCCTCTGAGAGAAGTAAAGGTTTCCAACCAGTTTTGTGCCTTGTGCCAAAATGTGTCAACAGATTTTTCAGAGGACCAGGAATTTATCTCTTCATACAAACTTCTGAAATTAGCCCACACTTTGGATTATTTCAGTGCAGGTATTTGACTGCAACACTTTACAGAGTTTTTCTGTTAGCAAGAAGAGAACTTTCTTTTTGTCGTTTCCAAACAGACTTGTAAATTCATACTTCCCATTGCCTTTATTGTCAGCTGGATTTCGGAGTTCCCAAACATCAAATCCCACACCACAGGATCTGATCTCAGTGACAAGCTTTTTCAAATGGATGCCTCAAGGCTCTTTGGAAATTTTTTCCAAATCCTCATCTTTATCCCAGTCAATGACCTCAGTGATAATGTTGTCTAGCATTACATCCATTACATGTAGCAGCAGGTGTAACTCATCTACAATAACATGGTCAAGGTCTATGTAAAGTGGTACCTTTACACAGCAGTAATCACCTTTTCCCTTCTTCACTAGCTCCTTAATTTCCAATAGTGTTCTCATCATGGGTGGGGAATTAAAGTGATGGAAATGCTTGTCTGTTTCCCACCTTTTGTCTTTATGGATCTTACACCATAGGCAGGCATATAAAGATGTAGCTCCCTTAAGTCCCATGACTGTTAGTAAAAATTTATAGTCCCTTCCAAGGAAAAACTCCAGCTTGACTTCTTGACCACCAACGATAATGGTGCCTTTGTCAATCAGAGAATTTATTTCTGAAAATGTAGTCTTGAAAGATGCCTGTAAAGTTTCATACTTTTCACTACCATTGACAACTGCAATGGTATGATTTCCTTTGGCAGACATAACTTCATCTTGTTTCTGGAGTAATGCACAGGCGAGAAGAATGTAATTAGACTTCTGTGTCATTTTAGCTCCATCCCCACTGAATTTTATTTGGAGTGTTTCATTGCCATAATCAAACTCTGGATTTTCCTTTTTAAATGCTGAAATTTGTTGCGAGAGAAGTGATTTAAATGATACTTGTGCACCCTCACATGTTCCAGGAGTAGGTGTCACATGACAGAGTTTGTCTGATCACTTCTGCATTGCTTTATCAGATAAGATCTTGGAAGACCATTTTCAATCATGCTGAACTCATGGTAAAATTCATCGCTAACACAGAATTTATCGAGTAGGTAAAGAATTTGTTCAACTTTTTCCATGTTGTAATTGTTTGTGTTAGTAGCAGGAGTTGAACATTCCCCTGATTTTTGCGCTTTTGTTTCAACATTTATTTCATATGTTGTCTGCCTCTTTAATGGTAAGCGATTGAACATGGAGGCCAAATGCTTGTGAAAACCACAAAGCTGTTTCAGCTCTAGTCAGGAAAGCCTTCAATGTGCGCTGTTTGTTTTTAGTCTCAGAAATATGTTTTCCATTGTAGGCAAACCCTTCATCTCTCTCAGGGCATTTAATAAACTCTTGAAGTTGATTGTTGGTATTTTGAAGGTGGCATATTTCCTTGCCCATACTGTTGATAGTGCTCCTCATTTCATCAAAAAGAATTTTTTTTTCTGCCTCCAGGTTTGCATGTGCTGCCTTCCATTATTGTAAATCATTTTTGTAGGGAAGCTACCTCATCTTCAACCTCTTGATAAGTAGCTAATTGGTCTTCATGTAAATGAAATTTCAGTGTTTTCTCATCTAATTTCTCCCAGTTCTGTCTTACCTTTATTTGTGTGATACAGAGATAGTACATTTGCTGCTCTTTTTGCAAACTGCTCATGGATATGTTGGTGTGTACCCATGTCATCTTTGATTACAAAGCATGAGCTGGTGCACATATGTCAATTAAATCTGGAAACGTTAGCGTTCTTCTGTCATTGACATAGTAAAACTTGGCCTTCTCATAGCTCTTGGTATATAAAATTCCCTGGAGGCCTCTATAGTTCTAGAGGAACTTGATATTCTCAGAGTTGCTTGCAGTTTCTAAAAAAAGAAATTAAAAAATAAATAAATAAAGACAAACATGCACACATACAGATGTACACATACATGCATGCATGCATAAATCAATCAATCAATCAGTCAGTCAAAAAATCAAGAAATAAATGGACAGTATATGAGAGAACTCCTGACCTCATGCACTGTAAATAAGCATATTTACTGAATAAATGATAAAAAATTTGCCCTGAGTGATCCACTAAAAATGTGAATGTAATGAAGTGTATGGTTGATCACAAATAAAGACTAAAATGATGTGTTTTCCTCTCACATCACTTTTCTTTTAGCTGGATAGACTAGCCTTTATCAGGGTCTTGATAAGGCCTCATGAAGTCCACTTCATGCAGACAAAATGTAGGTGATGATTATATATATTTTTATATTATATTTTATATTATTGCTTCTATCAGCAATAAAAGCTGTACCTTTTAAGTACTCAATGAATATACTTGATGTCTGCAGTCACTGTCAATAATAGTTTCTAATTTTTTTTTCTTTTTTAATACTATATGAAATTGTATGTAACAAGATATGTATTTTAAATTTTTCTTTCTCCATTATGCATTGCTTGTAACTTTATGCAACTGTCTTTGTACGCCTTAGTTACATGTGGCAGTGACCAACTCGAAAGCTTAAGCTCCTTTGGTCACTGTGCACATTTAACCATTGATTATTTATGTAATTTTTTGTTTCCATTTTTCTTCTTCTTCTTACTTTTGTAATCTATATAATTACTCAGCTGTAACCTCTTGAAATAGTGCAAAAATAAAAAATCTGAAAAATAATCTATTATGGTACTTTGTATCTTTCATCTTATGATATTTCTTCCTGTTTCACTTTCTACCACCCCTACCTTCTTATCAAGGAATCACCAGAGAAGGTTAAGAAAAGATACAAAAAAGTTTAAAAGGTTGTAAATATGAGGATTAAATAACTCAACTTCTTGAAAAGAGGAATTAGCATTCTGACCTGCTGCTTGAAACTTTTATTGCTCTCTCTCACAAGATAATACCACTCTTCAATGGTTGAGTATGCTAAAGAAATTGTCAAGGCTACCTTTCTTGTTGCTATGTTCCTTGCATATTGCAAAGATGCATCCACAACATCGATGTTCCAAGGTTGAAACGATTTATTTGGAGGTATTTCAGACATGGCACTTATAAATATTTGATTTTCCCTCGATTTTCGGTTGTGTCCTCGTGTACCGGTACACAAAGGAAGGAAACATTAACGAACTGCGTCATAACTCCATGTATGGTTATGAAAACAAAAGGAATTCCCTCGTGTACCGGTACACCAGGACAGCCCCCGATTTTCCCGCAATCTTCCCGCACTTTTTCGAAATTCTGCCGGTTCTCATGTTCAGCGGCTTTCCTATTGTAAGAGGAAACACCACTGACCATGGAAACGAACAAAAGTAAAATGGCTGTCAAAGAGAACGAAAACAAACTAGAACAAGGAGCATTCTTACCTCAGTGTAATACCTCTCACTTCGCTGATGACATTTTCAGAAAATGGTACTTTTTGTCTTGAAATGACACTGCCTTAACGGTTGTTTATGTGGAAGGAAATCGCTTTATTTGCGACCTTTTCATCTTGTCTTTCGAATGCAATGATGGGGAAATGTGTCAGTACCACGATCTTCGCTGCGAGAGTTTAGGAAAGTATGAAGGTAAGCACCCTTTATATAGGCTTATGAGAGAATGGTACGCTTATGAGTCGATCCAAAAAAAACAGTAAAAGGCACCGGCTAGAACTAATTTCATCTTCGCATTTTGTTGAATAAACTGTTGTTTATACATTGCTTTTTGCATTTTTAAGCTGGGGAAAGCTGTGTTCTGGATAACGTTAACAAAAACTCGAAACGTTTGCATTTCTCTCCACACTCTCTTTATGTTTGGCCGCCATATTTAAATCCATATGTGTGCACCCTGCGCATGCTTGGCAGCCATGCTGTATGAAATTTCTGGCTATGAGGGGGCTTCCCCTTGACGAGCTTTTTTAAAAATAACGTAATAGAGTCTTTTACGAACTTTCCTGTCCTTAGTATGGTCTCCGAGTTATTGCTTTTACTAAAATACACTTACATCCGAGAGGAATTAGGCGAAAATCGAAAAGGAGGCGCTGAATCCATCACATATTTAGCTGAATTGTTAATTAACGGTTTGGTGATTGCGTGATCACCGTGCATACCTATGGGTGAATCTATGGCACAAACCGAGGTTCGATTGCGGCAGATTGGGCAGTCATTTAACGGAACAATCACTCCGTCTAAAAAAGAACAGGCAGTGTCGTTTGAGAAGTTGCCCAGGCATTACAACTATATTGTCTACGATGTGAATTTACACGATTGACTTATTTTAATTCTTTAATCTGTCAGGACGTGTCGGGGGTTTTCCGTCTGGAGTGTTTTTGAACATGACGTAATGCACCTTTTGTTACTAATCTTAAAGCCTTTTCATAGCTCTCACAGGAGTAAACAAACCATCCAGTTTTGTTCAGCCTTGGATCTTCATAGCTTTGAGGCCCAGTCGTCTTTCTAAGGCAATTTTTGAGTACATCAGTGAATTTGAGACAATTTTTATAACATATACTTCGTGTCCCCAATTCTTTTCCAAGATAAACAATAGAGAGGGAAATGGCTGAGATGCTGACACCCGGTTACGCTTTTCGAGAATATACAGAAAATATAAAGAAAGGAAAAAGTTTTGTAAAAAGTTGGAAAATTGCATAAATACAAGCGGTAGTAAGTGTGCTATTGCGATTAGTAGTGTCTAAGCCTTAGTTTAAGTTTTCTGTTGATCTAGAAGAGCCATATTCCAGTTGTATGTCAAAATGCATGCGGACCTCGATAAACGAGGAAACTAAAAGTAATTTTGATTAAACCATAAATCAAGTTTACGACCATAACATTATTTCTTTTGATGCCGTCAACCGGAATGGCAGCACGTTTCAAAATTAACATGCTTCAGTTAAGCAAAATTTCAATAACCCTAAGCAGCTCATACCAAAATACCAGAATACGTCAAAGACGAAGTGTCTCGGATCCAAAACGAATAAACCAGTTCTTTTCTATTATTAAGAAAGACGAACTGAAATTGAAATAAAGTCTAGCAGCGTCCGGCACGTAGGCTTGTGAGTGGCTTCTCCCGATAATGTAAAGTAAAAATGAATTAAATGACAATAGATGTTTTAAATAATAGCCCTCTGTTTTCCCCAGATAACGATATGGCATCCACCAGCACTTCAGGAACATTGGGTCAAATGGTTAAACCAGAGTACACAAACTGGCTGGCAGTCGGTCATGCCTTGACAACGGTCCTATGCCAGGGACTTCGTCCCTTTGTTACGCAAGAGATGGAGATTTTTTACAGAAATGTAAGAGTTGGTGGACCGTGCACGTGTTTTTATGTCCCTAGCAGAAGGCCAAATCAATTCCACGATATGCGCTCATGTTTATGGGCAAAAGTCTTGACCACATGTCATCGCAGCAAACCAAACTGGAAACAAAGTGATTCAGCCAAATGGATGGACCCAGTTGTTGGTCCGTGGGAAATAGCTAAACTATTCCTTCCTGAACTTGGAGGGCATGCTGATATCAAAAGCGCAAACGACATGGACATCAATAGTATCTTGAACTTAATGTACTGGTGCAAACATTTCACTATTCCTCAGCCCTTGATCAAGGATGTTCGAGACGTTCGAAACGACAAGTGTGTTCACGTGCCCAAGCTGGAGTTATCTGATGCTGATAAGTCTGCCGCTTTTGACGCGATCGAAAACTTGCTGCAGGACACTCAACTGGCTGCAGACGAAGACGCAAAGAAAGCTCTCGGCGAAGTAATTAGTCTCAAGAGCATCAAAGACTTACACAATAGGGAGCCTCAGATTTTGGCCGACCTAAAAGAAGTTATGAATGAAAGGGTGTTGAACTTGACAGAAGAGTCTGAAAGAAACAAAAAGATGGTAGCAGAACTACAAGAAAGGCAGGAAAGTTTGGAAATGGCTTTTGAGGACCTCGAGCGATTTAACAGGCCCCTTCCACTAAGAGTACTAGGGTGGGTCTTTCAACTTCTGGTGTATGTACTTGGGATCCTCTATACATTCCTCAAAGGGAAGAAGACAGAAATGTTATTTTTTATCGTATTTTCATGCTTCTGTGGTGTTTTGGATTATCATTCAACAATTAAGGAAGGTAGGTTGAAATCCATATTTTTTATTGCCATTCTCATTTAATTGTGGATAGTGACTCTCTTAAACCAAAGAGAAAAGTGGTTTTTGTAACATTCACGTAGTTTTTAGCTGGTCGATGTTAGTTTATATAAGAAATGCTCAGGGAGTGGGCATACAGAAGACTTTCTTGCTTCCCTCCAACTATTTTTGTCGAGCTTAAAAACTGTCTGTAGCCACAATTATAAACAAAAGTGTTGAAACACCTGCGATAAGCTACGTTAAGCCGAGTTTCTGATTTTTTCCTGGCATTTTAAATCTAAATTAAACGTCTGCACTTTGGTCAAACAGACCCTAAAAATGAAATGATTAAAATAAAGAGTTTTTGTAACGATAATAAAGTTAAAGCTGTACTTTAATCACAAGTTCGTCGAGATTTTCGATAAAACAGTCATACGCATCGAAAAAATCTCCATCTATCGTATAAGCTATGAAAAAACGCATTATATTCATCTCAAAGGTAGAGATTGCACTCAATGTATTAAAAACGGCAGCAAGAATTAACTGATCAGAAGGCATGTTTTTATGATTCGAAAAGCTTTGTTTTGTCTGCGGAAGTCTTAACAACACAACACTCTGCCTTATGTGACCAGTTGAAAGCTTTCTTTGTATTCTCTCCATCGCTCGGGATGCGATCAGAGTAAGCAGTTAAAAGTCGATGCTTCTTTTTGTGTTAAAAACTTGTAGTGTGATCGATTGAGGTTTTTTCCTACACCTGGGTCACCAAATTTGGTCTTAAGGGTTTTAGAAATCTACTCAACGTGCATTTTCTTTAGGATGTTTGATAAAAAGATACGGTTATCAGTGGAGCCTGAAGCACTTCGACTTCGACGTGTTTGCTGCTACATCCAGAAAAAGTTTTATTGGACGGCAGTGATTGTATCGTGAATTAGAAGATCTTATGGAGCATTCAGGCAAGCGGGTTCATGATAGAATAGCCGGGTATCAGTTTTGTATGCACTCAGATAAAGGGAATCCAGAATGCAGCTAAATTTGTGCAAAATCTGGCTAATATGGTTGCGTCGACTTTTGAAGACTACAATCCAATCATTTCGAGGGACTCCTTTGTGCGTAGAGCTTTAAAAGAGGAATGTTCTCAAGCTCTAGAGTCGTGTTTCCCCGATATTCAGGTCATAAAGCCATTAGCTCTTGTAGAACGTTGTCATTGTGGACCCTATGAATGGAGGGAAAGCTACCACGATGAGTTCCATCTAAATCATTTTTATCATGATTGTGATTTCCTTTTTTAATCTTTAGAGTACGAAGACGTTGGTTGTTACAAAGACAAACAAGATCGTGCCATCGAGACATTAGAAGGAAAGGATTCCATCTTAGATGGCGAGTACAATTCTCGTGCAAATCCCATTGCAAAGTGCGCTGTCGCTGCAATGAGAAAGGGTTACAGTATGTTTGCAATTCAGAATGGTGGCTGGTGTGCAGCAAGTTCTACTGCGCAACAAACCTTTCACAAATATGGAAAATTTACGAATTGTATGATCGACGGTGAAGGTGGACCTTGGGCTAATAATGTCTATATATTAAGAGGTACCTTTTTGCGCAGAATCATAAGACTTATGCAACTTGTTCGAAACCTAACTGATAATTCGCTCTCGGATGTCTTCAAACTTTGAGCTTCTCCTCCTGATGACCTCTAACCTTACTTGCTAACTAGGATAATAATTTCTTTTGTTTTTAATCCATTTAGATGAAAAAAGAGTTGGAGGTCACGATAATTCTTCAAGTCACATGGTTCAACCTCTGGAAGAACGGACCCGAGCATGAACAGTCCTCAAGATCAAAAATTCAATCTTCAAGTTATAAAAACCGGAACATTTTTCAAGCCTTCGGTCATTAAAAGAAATTTATTTTCAAAAGTGATGGCAAAGAATGATTATTTTTAGATTTTAGACGCTATGATTTATGTAACGTACGTATCGCACACAAGGATCACGGTATATTACATGTATTGCTTCGGCCTTGCAAAAAAGAAAGATACACACTCGTTGCTGCCTGTTTCCATATCAACCGAGTTTGCCAGCGTATAACTATAAGCTCCTCTCGCCAAGGGACAAAGGGTTCAAGTCTATCCAGATAATCCCTGAAGGAGAGAAAAATAGATAGAATAGTGTGTATCCTGCGAATATGTACACCGTTTTTATTTCAGCGCGTAAGGCGACAGTGGGCTGCGCGCGGCGGCGGACTGGAGACTAAATTGCACGCGCAACTTACGGGTGTTACGGCCCGGTCCGCCGCTTTTCGCGGCTATATGAAGATGAAACGTTTTCACGAAGATGAAGAACTGTTTGAAAGTTTGTAAGTATGACTGAACTCTCGCTGGAAAACCAAAGAAGTGAGGACAAATAAAAATAAACAAACAATGCTAAGTCCTGGAATAAAATTAGATCCATGACCTTTGCAGAAAAATCATTATCTCTCAATTTTATTTCTTTGAAAAGTATTCATTGTGTTCTTCTCTTAAATTGTGCCGATCCCTTTTCTGACGATCTTTGCTCCTTAAATTTTTTGACTGTAATCATTACTATGACGCAGAAAAAAAAGGCTGTGCATAGTTTTCACAGAAAAGTATTTTAGCAAAGTTTTCAGTTTTTAATCTTGATATAGTGGAATTAAATCATTTTCTACCCTGACCGAGTGACTCGATCACTGTACAGGACTCTCGTATGGGAGGGACTAGGGAGAGGAAGTTCAATTTCTTACCCAGACCCCTTCATTCGAGTTGCGTTAGCATTTTACTTTCCTCGATTCCTGTTTACGAGCGTAAATTTGCTGTGCTATATTGAATTTATTTCAAAGTTTCCTCAGTTATTTCCAATTTCTTCATCTATTTCTATAAGGCAAAGATAGACCCCTTTGAGCCGGGTTAAGGATCGGTGGGAACAAACAATTAAAGGTGAGAAATATTAAACTTTCAACCGAATATTGTGACGTGATATCTTAAGATGCAATCCTTTATTTTGCCAGACTGTGATAAATCGAGCTTTCAAATCACCTTGAACTATTTTTTGCAGACGCATTTGGACCGAAAATCATTTCCTTTGGCCTCATATCTGCTCGAAAAAAGAAAAATTCATATACTTTGAAAACACTACGGCGAAGTATATTTGAGAATGTTTGGATAAACTCACAATAAAGCGAATGATATAAACGGAATCGTGTAGTCAACTGAGAAATTATGAAAGGTTTTACCATAAGAGGTCATCATTTGAATCCTCTAGATTACAATCAATAACTCTTAAGATGCATTAAAACCTAGAGAGGAGAGGTAGTCGACTGAATGAATAAGGTTTAAAATTTGAATATAATATATCTAATATATATAGAGGTCTGCCCTAATATATCTTATCGTTTCATAACTGAAATAACTTAGCGTTGCTTCTCAACATCATTTTGCCTTTGGTATTTGTCATGATGCGCGTACAAGAGAAAATAATGTCCCATAATTTTCTCATGACGTGTATCAAAAATATATTCGCTTACAAAGACTTAACGCGGTAACTTAATATAATTAGCTGAATAATATTCTGTGCGGACTCTGATTAGGGTTCTCCTTTTCGAATTTTTCTTAAAATAATAATAATAATAAGGTCTTTTACGAACTCTCCTGTCTTTAGTATGGTATCCGAGTTATTGCTTTTACTAAAATGCAGTTACATTCGAGTAGAATGAGGCGAAAATTGAAAAGGAGGCGCTGAATCCATCACATATTTAGCTGAGTTGTTAATTGACGGGTTTGGTGATTGCGTGATCACCGTCCATACTTATCGGTGGATCTATGAAACGCCGTGATTCGATTGTGGCAGATGGGGCAGTCATTTTAAATTTGTATCCTACATTTAACGAAACTTTCACTCCGTCCGAGAAGAACAGCCGGTGTCGTTTGAGAAGTTGCCCGGATATTATCACGTTAATGGTTTACGGTGTGAATTTACACTGTTGATTTATTTTAATTTGCGAAGATTATTCTGTAATCTGTCAGGACATGTGTCGGGGGTTTCCCGTCTGGGGTGTTTTTGAAGATGACGTAATGCACAGTTTGTTTCCAATCTTGAAAGCCTTTTCATAGCTCTCACAGGAGTAAACAAACCATCCAGTTTTGTCGAGATTTGGATCTTCGTAGCTTTGAGACCCTGTCGGCTTTCTAAGGCAATTTTTGAGTACCTCAGTGAATTTAATTTGAGACTTACAAAAAGAGCGGGAAATGGCTGAGATGCTGACACCCAGTTACACTTTTCAAGGATATACAGTAAATATAAAAAAAAGGAAAAAGTTTTGTAAAAAGTTGGAAAATTGGATAAACTCAAGCGGTAGTAAGTGCGTTATTGCGATTAGTAGTGTCTTAGCCTTAGTTTAAGTTTTCTGTCAATCGAGAAGAGCCATATTCCAGTTGTAAACCAAAATGCATGCGGACCTTGGCAAACAAGGAGGCTAAAAATAGTTTCGATTAAACCATAAATCAAGTTCGTGACCATAATCGTTATTTCTTTTGTTGCCGTCAACCGGAATGGCAGTACGTTTCAAAATTGATATGCTTCAGTTAAGCAAAGTTTCAACAATTTTCAGTGCAGCTTATACCAGAATATCAAATTATGTCAAAGACGATTGGTCTCTGATCCAAAGTAAATAAAACAGTTCTGTTCTGTTATTAAGAAAGACGAACTGAAATTGAAATAAAGTCTAGCAGCGTCTACCTCGTTAGCTTCTGAGTGGCTTTTCCCGATTATGTAGAGTAAAAATGAATTAAATTTCAACATATGTTTTAAATAATAGCACTCTGTTTTCCCTAGATAACGATATGGCATCTACCAGCACTTCAGGGACATTGGGTCAAATGGCTAAACCAGAGTACAGAAACTGGCTGGCACTCGGCCATGCCTTGACAACGGTCCTGTGCCAGGGACTTCGTCCATTTGTCAAGCAAGAGGTGGAGGCCTTGTCTAGATATGTAACGACAAGAGTACCCACACCTTGCACATGTGTTTATGTGCCAAGGAGGAGGCCAAATGAGTACCACGACATGCGTAAATGTATAGGGGCACAAGTCTTGGCCGCTTGTCATCACAGAATCAAACCAAACTGGAAACAAAGTGATTCAGCCAAATGGATGGACCCAGTTCTTGGTCCGTGGGAGATTGCAAAACTGTTCCTTCCTGATCTGGGTGGACATGCTAATATCAGGAGTGCAGACGACATGGATGTTAATGGTATCTTGAACTTAATGTACTGGTGCAATCATTTCACCATTCCTCAATCCCTAATCAAGGCTGTTCGAGATATAAGAAACGACAGATGTGTTCACGTGCCGAAGCTTGAGTTATCCGATGCTGATAAGACTGCCGCTTTTGATGCTATCGAAAACTTGCTAAAGGACCCTCAACTGGCTGCAGATGAAGAGGCAAAGAAAGCTCTCAGAGAAGTTATTAGTCTTAAAAGCATTACAGACTTACATAGTAGAGAGGCTCAGGTTTTGGTCGACTTAAAAGAAGATATACATGAAAGGATGTTGAGCTTGACCGAGGAGTCTGAAAGAAACCAAGAGTTGGTTACAGAGCTACAAGAAAGGCAGGAAATTTTAGAGATGGCTGTGGAGGATCTGGAGCAAGAAAGCAAACCATGGGGAGTGAGACTAATAGAGTGGGTCTTGGACCTTATGATATGTACTTTCGGAGTCCTTTTTGCGCTCTTAAAAGGTTTCCGGACAGAAATTCTATTTATGTTCCTATTTTCAGTGTTCTGTGCCGTTCTGGATCATGACACACTGATTAAAGATGGTAAGTTTAAATTTATGGATTGCATGTGCCGTAGTTTATACTTTAATGCTTTCATAGAATTCTTGACTCAATGAAGAAGCCATTTGTTGAGCCTTGGGAACCTTATTCCAATGTATGACTGAGATATGGGAACAGTATAGGCAGTTAGCTTTTTCGATTCAAACTTCAGAACCATGATGTAAGGTAAACGTGTTGGGAAATTGGCGAAAAATAGATTTTTACTCCTGTCTACGCCTCTCGTTAGTTTATAATTTAAGACTGAAATCAGTCCACAGCTTGTCTCTTACTGGTATCATTTCATTTTACTTAGGATGTTCCATTAAACGATACGACGATCGGTGGAGCCTGAAGCATTTCGACTTTGATGACTTTGCTACGACATCCAGAGCAGATTTTATCGGAAGAAAGTGGTTATATCGTGATATGGAAGAGCTAATGGAAAATTCAAGTTACCGTGGCTTATTGCTTGTTGGAAGCCCTGGTTCTGGTAAGACAGCTTTTGTCTCAAATTTACTTTGTTCTAGAAGTGCAAGCCCACTCATTCATGATAGAATAGCTGGTTATCACTTTTGTATGTATTCGGACAAAGGAACTCAAAATGGGGCCAAATTTGTGGAAAATCTGGCGAACATGATTGCCTCAAACTTCGCAGAATACGGCGAAATTATTTTGAGAAATTCCCATGTTCGTCGAGTGTTACAGAAGAGTTGTGCCCAATCCCCAGATTGGTGCTTTCAAGAAGGAGTCCTTACACCTCTGAAAAAGCTGCCAAACCCACCGAGAGAGACGTGGTATATTGTTATTGATGCCTTAGATGAGTGTTCAGTCGATGGCCAAGGAGAAATTTTAAAGATGCTGAAGTTCAAATTGCGAAGCTTCCCTAAGTGGTTAAAACTGATTACTACATCGCGTAATACAAGTTTTATCACTTCGTTCATGAAAATACTAGAATTGAAATCTAAAGACCACAGAAACTTAGAAGATCTTGATAATTATTCATCCCTTAAGATATACACTTTGAAAACTTCACTCTTATACGGTTTAAAGGCTTACTTTTCAATCAAGAAGAACAATTCCCTTAATCAACAAATCGTTACCAGTCTTAAGGAAAGAGTTCAAGGTAATTTCTTATTTGCAAAGGTCCTATTAGATTGTCTTCTTGAAACACCGGAAAGAGTCAGTTGGACTGAGCAGGGCTTTCCAAAAACACTTGATAACATTTTCCAACTGAATTTTGAACGCAAGTTTAGCTCACGCGAATCATTTCGCTCCTCACGAGAGATTTTTGAAATCCTGGTTGCCGCCTATACACCACTATCAGCTGAAGACATATACTATGTCCTAAAACTTGACGATCCCGACCTTGACTATGAATACGATTTAATGCCAAGACTTAAAGAAGTGTCACTGTTTCTTTGGGATAGATCAGAAAAGGGACTTGTTCGCATTTATCACTCTGCCTTGTCAGAGTGGCTGACCAGTGAATCCAATAAAGGAAACCTTTTTTACGTCAAGAAACAAAAAGGTCATAGACGTCTTGCAGAATATTACCTTCAACAGTTAAAGAGAACAATGAGAGCCTTGACACCGGCAAAAGCCTTTTATTTGGCTCGCCACATCGTAGAAGCAGGTTCAAAAAGGAATCAAGTGGATGAATTTCAGTCGCTGCCTTCAGATCTCGTCAACAGATCAGATGAAGTAAAAACCACTTCATTACACTTAAGTTCACGTTTGGTGAATCCAGATATTACTAAACTTTTAGTAACACATTTTGATGATATCGATTGTCTGGATAATAACCACCGGACCCCCGCCTTCATTGCTGCTACTGTTGGAAACCGTGAAAATCTTATCTTTCTTTATACAAAAGGGGCAGACATTAATCATACTGTCTCTTGTCCAGATTTTAAGGCGCCAATGGAATTGCAAAAAGCTTTGCGAGAATGTAAAAGAAGAGCGTGTGAATATTCATTGTTGCACATAGCTGCTCAGGAGGGAAATGGGGATGTCGTTGAATTCCTGATCGACCGTCATGTGAATACATTGAAAACAACAGGCTGCAATAACACGGCTGTCCAGTTGGCAGCCGCAAATGGGCATCTCGAGGTCGTTTTAGCTCTTAAAAAGGCTGGCGCTGTTTTAGATGGAATTTCCCTACATCATGCCGCTGCTAGAGATCACCATCACGTCGTGGAATATTTATTAAAAGAAGGTGTTAGAGATGTCTGCATAGATTTAAGTCCTTTCATCGAGTTCTGCCCAGCAACGAATATTAAAGATATCAAGGTTCATGTGTATGACAACGAACACTTGAAATTAGGCGAGACCGCGCTTCATGTTGCAGCCAAGAATAATTACCCATCTGTTATCAAAACTCTGCTAGCTTATCGTGAGGAGAGTGCCATCAATTGCTCGAATGCGGCGGGAAGATGGCCCTTACACGAGGCGGTTTACTATAACAATTATAACGCACTGCAGGCGATGCTTGCTGCGGGAGTAAATATTTCCGTACGTTGTAACTTACGCCCCAAAACGTCATGCCTAACACAGAAGTGTTGCCCTTGTGAATTTACCCCGCTTCATATTGCGGCCAAATATGGTTATCACAGTGCTGCTCAACTACTAATTACGGAGAAAGCAGACTTACATATAGAAGATTGCAATGGTTCGACCCCGCTTCATATTGCTTCCTGTCATGGAATGGTGTCAATTATTACCCTTCTCGTTAAAAGTGGAGGGGATATCAATAGAAGAAGCTATAACGGATCAACTCCCTTTCATAGCGCAGCTGCATGCTTTGCGACAAGTGCCTTTTGGCTTTTGCTGGACCTTGGAAGTGATTTCTTCGTGAAGGACAATAAAGCTCTGACGGCATTACATTATGTTGTAAAAGACATAGAAGTTGTCGGTACAGTGTACTTTGGTGATCTGTATGTTAGAAAGCCAAAAGATTGGATCGAAGTTGGACCGAAAGATGAAGAGCCATGGGAGAGAGGCAAATATCAACGCTTTTGGCTGAATGTAATGATTAAAATGAGCAAGAGTTTCGTTGCTAATATGGTCGAAAGGGAGCTTTCCTATTCCTTAAATTCAATCCTTTACTTGTATTCTTCTGTCTTTTTCGAAACAGGGAAAAAAGCAGACGCTTCTTCTATCTTAACTGGGAGCAATGGATTAGATCAAAGTTCGCTGGTAACCATAGCAACTCCATTTGTATATTTCTATGACGTAATTTACCAAGCTCTCCTGAAGAGTGTTGTTTTTACAATTAACAGACCTTATGAGCGAAGTGTAGTTCCCAAACAGTTAACAAAAGCCATATCAAAAACGTTTACAATATTTTATCCGAACGTACGTAACTGCACGATTCTTACTAGTGCGGTAAGGGCCAATATGGCTCGCACGGTGAACACCGTTCTACAAGCAGGTGCGGATGTTAACTGTAAAGATCAGCATGACAAAACTCCACTTTTATCATATTTACACAGTGGCGGCCGTCACATGTCGAAAGTCCTGGTAAAACATGGAGCGAGAGTAAATATATCGTGCGAAGAACCATTTGAAAAATCTACCCTACATTTAATATCTTACCACAAGTTACATTATTTGCACTATCTTCCTCAGTTCTTGCGTGGAGATAAAAAGTGGTCTCAATTCTTATCAAATGAAAACTTTTTATTTGACTACTTTTTGAATAAATATGAAGAGGAACAGAAAGAGGGACGCACGCGGACAGCCCACACTGGGGATGGACCCCTGACCAGTGCAGTGAACTTGCATCCTCGTGGAACTAAAATTCTAAATGAATGCTTTGATGCTGAAGGCTACAACGCCTTACACAGAGCAGCACAGGGTGCGAACGTGATTGCTATTGAGAAATTCCTCTCCTTGGGAGCTGATTCCACCCTAGAGAATTCAGACGGATATTCTCCGTTATGGCTTGCAGTGTTTTATTCGGTTAAATACACACCATTTTTAAACTTACATCGGAAAAATGTTCTGGTGGATTTAGAAGTGGATCTCGCATCAGAATCTGCATCTGTCATTTTAGAGCATGTGCTTCAAACTGACACAATAGATATCGGCTGCAGAGGAAGTCAACTCGATTTAACCATATACCATATCGCAGCTATTCGAGGAATGTGGCGATTTATAGCTCACTTACTTACAGAGAAGCGTGTGAAAGGAATCGATGTGAACTGCCCTAATAAAGATGGTATAACTCCAATGTATCTCGCAATGCTCGTTGGTGGCCTTAATTGTACGTTGCGAAGCCCTTGGTGTAAGGTTGTGGAAATAATTCGCCAGCACGGCGGAATACTTAAAATTCCTACCCTTGAAGCTGAATACTTTCTCATATTTGATCTCTTTTTTGGAATGAGTCCAAGTCCAATGTACTCAGAGTTAGCGGAGGACGAAATTGTTACACTTCAAGCCGAGGCTGAAAATCATGAATGCAAGGGATTTGAATTGAACACCGACCTGTTTAAATCGTCAGGGAAACTGGATAAACTTTACCATGACTTCTATCAAAAACTGAAAAAGTGTTCGAGTGGCGATGTGGAATGTACATCAGGGATTGACAAGAATTTGCCTCAGCTAGAACCCCTGAAGTTGGTTATGCAAAAACATCAGCGCTTTAAATTGCGACACACGATGATCAGAAGTGACTTTGTTCGTTTTCTAGAAGTAGAAAAAAGTCGCGTGCACATGTTTCTTCTTGATTTTACCCAACCGCACGAAAGGGTGTCATGCGAAGTTGTTAGAGAACGTCGACGAATATTAGGCATTGCCGATAGTACACACGAAAGCGATGGTTGTTCGTGTTCCTGTATAAGCGTTGACCGTGCTCTTCGAATGTCCTACAGCGATTTTAAAACAAGCTTTGATCAGGTACAAATGATATCTGAAAAAGCGAAATCATCTATTTCTTCAATAGGGAAGTCCCCTAGCGTTCTCTTGAAGATAAATCGCTCATTGCGCAAGCTCGATACCACGATGATGTGTGACTGGCAAGCAATTGCAACGAAGTACTTGACATTACACTTCCAAATTCAGAACTTTAAACTTGGCACCCTGCATGTGGAAGAGCATTCAAGGGTCGTTAGTATTACAGACTTTGCTTCAATACGCATGAAGAAAGTATTTATTGATTTATCTCCGGAGACACTGAAACTTGCTCTAAAGCTTGCGTCGCAGAAGTCTTCTTCATTATTTGATGACCTTTATTACCTCACGAATTTAAAATTCAGAAAGCCACCCCTTTGGAAAGGTACCTTTGAACAATGGGATCGATAGAATCCTCGAAGGCAAGTGATTTTGAAACGAATGCCTTCGAGATATTTACCTCAAGATGAAACTTTAGAAAAGTGACGGGGGAAGGGTGAGGAATTTGGAAGATGTGACATAGCTAGTGTTTTCCTTTGGTACAAGAAGAGTGGAAATCGTTATTTTTTTTGTCCTGGAGCAGCTTCAGGGATAAATCGTGGTTTTGTTTTGTTCCTCATAATTTACTGGAGATTTTTGCGTATGCCACACCCGCCCATCGCTTTTCTATTGGTTCTTCTATTAAAAACAAGCTTAAACACATTTCGGAGATTCTGCTTTATGCGTTGCAAAACGCTCACGTTAGTAGCGCTGGAGGCCTTTCGCAGGCGCTTTCCATGAAATAGGAATATAACTCTGTTGAGCAAAGTATTTGTTTGGGCAGGGATAATGAAAAAATGGTTGGCTTTGTATAGCTGAATTCTATATTAACGAATTCTTTCTTTTCCTCGGAAGGGGATGGAAGATCACGAGTACTTCCGCCCCTACTCCCCAGATAATGATATTTTGCTAATATACACCAAATTATCTAAAAGTTCCTCGTCTCGTATTAATGAGTAGAATGATATTTGAACTGACAGGAACACTGAACCACAACATATCCGGCTAAATGAGTATTACTCCATGTTGTAAATGGCTATTCCTTCTTGTAGCTCAGTAGTTTAATATAAAGAAGTCGTATAGTGTTGCCTTAAGGAACGGATATTCCAAGTTAAATTCTGTGTACAAAACACCGTAGTGTGTGGATCATTCGCAGCCCAAAATTCTTGTCCTTTAGTTTGACTTAAATTTCATATCCCATACAAATCGCTGACAAGTTTAGGAAAAAAAACCCCACCGCGTCTCTAAGTTCACCGTGATAAGGTATCACTGAGTGAAATATGAGGCTAGTAATTTTTCGGTCGATGTGCTATCTCTCATGCGGTCTTGAAAAAAAGTCGCTCTTAGGGCCTGCTTACATGGAGGTGGGGGACCCCAGGTAGCTGAGGTAACCCGTCTAGATGGGGTAACCCACCTGTCCAGATAATTTCTTATTTCATCTCGATCACGTTTACATGATAGGTGGGGTGACCCGCCTAAGCGGGTTGTCTGCCAGGTAGGGTAACCCTGTCAGCCGGGGTGACAATTTGCCATGTAAACGTCTCAAGGTGGGGTAACCCGCCTCGCCGGGATCACTTTCATGGCAAAAAGTTCAAAAGCGAAACAGGTATGTTTTAAAACTTAGTACATTTCCTAGCCGTCTCATGGCAGAAATCACCAGAAACCGCAACGGACATACAAAGAGTGTAAAATGTTCACATTTTGGAATATTTAGCGTTATAAATCGACCACAGTTCAAACTATTCCTTATAATGTATTAAGTTAACGGTTCCTTATGTAACTTAACACCGCGTAACACAACGGGTGACGCTTTTATGAATAAATACATATGTGTCCGAGAATTGATCTTTCGTCTTTCCCGAGACGTGAGCTTGGGGCGCCTCTGCTCCCTGATTGCAAGCGCAACAACAACCTCAAGAAACCTCACCCCAGCACCCCGGGGTTGTAAGATTGTATGTAAACGCGTTTCATTTTTCGACCACGGCTAGGCGGGTTACCTCACCTACCTGGAGCCCCCCACCTCCATGTAAACAGGCCCTTAATGCTTTAGCGTTAATGCTTTTTGATCGAATTAGACCTATCAGTTAGCCTTTAAAGTAAATAATAGTGTCCCGCTTTTACAAATTTCGAACTAGATAATTGTTCTTGGTAGATGTACAATAATCATTATGATAAATTAAACTGAAGTCTATTTTGAAATTAAAGTATCTTCATCAGATTAAGTGTCCATTCAAGTTTCAGTTTTCAGTTCGACACCGTAAAGATATCATATCTTTGGGTTTTTCTACTCGTCGCGTAAAAAATCTAATATTAACTGGCCAACGACTGACAGTACACTCGCCGTTTCCTTTTCAAGAACCTGCTCTGTTTTACCATCGTTTCAAACAGTTATAGATTCGAGTCTTATACCCTAGTATTAAAAGTTTTACCAGCACGATCCTGTTTAGTTCGCGATTATGTTCCAGGTTTCCCTACTTTGTACATAACATCATGATCACCGCACAATATCAGCGCTTCAAGTGGATCTTCTGTCATTCAGCTCTGAAAATCCGCACTAATCCTAAATAAACTTCAAATATGCGTATGTATAAAATTAAGTTTAAGGTGGAAAGTTATATTTTTGAGAGCAATAAAACTGTAGGCTAGATTTCCGAGGCTACATTTATTTGCAAATCCCTCATATCCATTATCACCCTGACTGATTCCTTGTTCTTCTTTGCATTACATATTCAAGCCTTTTTTATTTTCTTTTCATCAGGACAAGTTTTTATTTGCGACTCTCCTTGGATGCGAAGGTGAAGGTACGTACTGTTGAAAACAAAAGCAGTTGAAAATATCAGAACGAAGAACGAAGTCCATTTAAGTTTAAAATCAGATTGACTTGAGTACCGATGCAAATTAAATCGATCAGCCGTCTTTTTGTATAGGTAATCACATGATTTCGAGTGCAATTTGGAATAAATAAACACAAGTAAATTTTTTTAAAGACTAAAAAAATTGCACGAGCCCTACGGGCTCGAAAAAAATTAACAAGTGCTTGTTTATTCCAAATTGCACGAGACAAATCATGTGATTACGTATTAATAATATACATGGAAAAATACGAGATGGCTTATCATAATTAAGCATAAGCAAAGCGTGCGCATCAAGTGCAAAAATAATTTTTCCAACCGTGCGTTCGTTCAAAACAACCGCGTACGATCAAAACAATAATATGCAATGATATCTTCACATCCTTAAGGCGCAAAAAAGTTCAAGTCCGGCTAAACAGTTCAAGGAATTGTCCAGTCTGTGTTCGAATCACTTTCGATGAAATGGAATCGTCATTTCCGAGGTTTAACCATGTTTGTTTTTAATTTCGGCGTTGGATCGCTCAAGCAGAGTGTTAAGCTGGGTTTCCATTAAGTTTTCGATTTCCTTGGCAATTCCCTTTTCTAAACACCACTTTTTCCAAACTGACAACCAAAAAGCAATGCTTTTCACAATGTTTTCGTTTTCTGAGCTGTTTTTCAGCTGCGGTGGCGAAAGAAAACCTACGTAAAACGCCGGCCGTTGTTTCGCTCGCAAATGTTCAAATTTTCAAATTTGTTGCGATATCCAAGGCTCGCATATGATTGGCTATCTGTGAGTTTCTTTGATTATTGGCCAATTAGAATGTCTCGTTTGTTACTTTTTTTGCACTGAATTAACCCTCTTCTGCACTGAATTAACTCTCTTCTGCACTGAATTACCTGAAAACTGCATTTATTTTAACCATTCAGAACTGAGTAATTTTTCCACGTATATTATTAATTACAAAACAATTCAGATACGACAGTCAAACAACGAATTCAAGCTCTTGGGAAAAATGATGAGTGTTCGCAGTTTGCCAAATCATTCACAGGAATCTCATCTCACAGCTTGGACGCAAAGTTAAAAGGAAAACTCTAGGCTAGGAGTTACATACTAACACTATTATCATGACAGGATTTTTTTCCAGATTTCATAACATGATCTCATGACCAAAGGAGATAGGAAAATTGGTTTCTTGCCATACATGAACCGGGTATCTTTTGATCATACGTGATTACGATGCTAGCCATTCAAAAGTAATGAATACCACGGAAGAGGAATTATTGATCAATTTATAAAACAAACGAACAAGGTTAGAAAAAAATTGACAAAGTGCACCCGAATTTGTATTCACGCAAATGTATTACATTGATAGTCAGCATCATCCTTAGTCGCATGAATTGAGAATACTTTTCACGACCTCATGAACAAAAATATCACTGAAATGAAATATTTGGATGAATGGAAAATAGCGAGTAAGTATCATTCCATCAAGAGCTTCAAATTCACTTTTCAGGTATACTTTTGATCAAAGCTACAAAACAGTGACAATTTTCGATCAAAATTTAAATGCTGAAAAGGGCTTACTGAATCATTGTGGCGATTTAAGCCGGAATACTTAGCAATGATATCGATGATGGAAGGCAAAAGTTCACGAAAATGATGCGCGCAAGTTCTGAAACCAAGTTGTAATTACCTGGACAAAATGTTCAAGGTGCAATTCAAGGATAATCGTGGGGAGTAACTTGCACGCCGTCTGATCAGTTTAAAAATTGCGATAAACTTTGGAGTACAGCACGTCAGCAGCATTGCAATTAATTATCTTACCTTTCAGGTTGCAGCAGACTTCTTGATTCAAAATAGATCCGTCTTTCTCCGCGCACATGAAGATTCATCGATCGCTCGTCGGTACAGACTAAAAACAACATATGTCGTTCAAAATTATGGAGGTTCATGCAAAAGTCTAACCCCCTTTGGTTGATAATCCAAGAAACTGATAGACAGGATCATGTTGCCATTAACTTGTCCATGTGATACTCCTAACAGAAGAATGAGCCTGTCTTTGGATAATGCTTTTAGGGAAGCAGTTTAAGTCCGCAAGACAGTACACTCTTTTATTCACCTGTCGGTGAGTGCACTGCTCTTTCTTGTCAGCGATACACGCCTCTGGAGTAAGAAGATTTAATGGTCTGTCGTCGATAGAAACTTAAAAAAGGTGAGATTATTTAGTTAAAAAATACTGTGTAACCTTCTATAGTATGGTGATTACCTGTTAGTACTGCACTGGTCCCTTTTTACTCAACCGTGAGTAGTGCACTGCCCCCCCCCTTTTACTAACCTGTTAGTAGTGCACTAGCCCCTTTTTACACGCCTTTTAACGGTGCACTTGTCCCTTTTTACTCACCTGTTAGAAGTGCACTTGCTCCTTTTTACACACCTGTTAATGGTGCACTGGCCCCTTTTTTACTCACCTGAAAGTAGTGCACGCCCCCCCCCCCTTTTACTCACCACTTAGTAGTGTACAAGCCCCTTTTTAATCA